GGTCTCATCAGGACTGTCTGGATCCTCTTTCTCTGTATCCTAGTTAGGCCACCTCACCAGGGGAAGGTGATCAAAGAGCCAGCCACTGAGTCCATGTCAGAGACAGCCCCTGCTCCTCTTACTAGAAAGCCCACATGGAGATTGAGCTGTCCATGGGCTACTTCTGAACAGGGCATCTAGGTCCTCTCCATGCATGGTCCATGGTTGATTCATCAGTCTCTGCAGGATACCCCGAGCCCAGAGTTTTGGGCTTTGTTGGTCTCCTTGCGTAGCTCCTGTCCCCTCCAGATCTTTCTATCTCCTTCTTCCATAAGATTCCCTGAACTCTGCCCAAAGTTTGGCTATGAGTCTCTCCTGGCATGTATCCAAAAGATGCTCAAGCATACAACAAGGACATTTGCTCAAGTATGTTCATAGTGGCTTTATTCATAATAGCCAGAATCTGGAAATAACCTAGATGTCCCTCAACTGAGGAATGGATAAAGAAATTGTGGTATATTTACACAATGGAATACTACTCAGCAATTAGAAACAAGGAAATCATGAAATTTGCAGGCAAATGGATGGAACTAGAAAAGATCATCCTGAGTGAGGTATCCCAAAAGCAGAAAAACACACGTGGTATACACTCACTTAAAAATGGATATTAGCCATATAATATAGGTTAAACATACTAAAATTTGTACACCCAAAGAAGATAAACAATAAGGCAGACCCTAGAGCAGTGGCTTAGTCCTCATTCAGAAGGGCAAACAGGATAGACATCGAAAGTAGGAGAAGACAAGGAACAGAACAGGAGCCTCCCACAGGGGCCTCTGAAAGACTCTACCCAGCAGGGTATCGAAGCATATGCTGAGACCCATTCTTAATTTTCATGTACAACATTTGGTTTCTTTTCCCAGATAAAAATTTATAGTCATGTCACAAAAACGCAACATAACAAATAGTCATGTTAAAAACCTATGTAATATTTACTGACTAAAGATCCATCAATCCTCTGATTTTGTTCCTGGACCTCCATTCTACCTTGAATTGCAACTCTTCATTCACTCTGTGCCCTAAGCCCCCTGAGTGTCTGAGCATGGTGCAGAAACATGAAAGCTTTCTTACCTGTGTCTCCCTGATACTATTTTACTTGCCTCTAATGCCTCATTCCTACTTACCCAAACCTCCCTAGACTCTTACATGACTAGCCCATCATCCCACATTCTCTGCCTTAGCTAGTCTAGTCCCGCAAGCTTCCCTATCATCAGTTATTTCCTTTGGTACCTTCATCACTTTTTTGGTGAACTGTAAACCCCCAGAAGGAAAGATCTTTGTCCAATTTATCTTTGTGTGCTCCATAGTTACCTTTCTCAGTAGTGCTAAAAGAGCTGTAAGGTGAAAGAGCAGACAAACAAATGTGCTCTGTGGCTCTCTTATGCATGTGTACCTCATTTCCCCTTATCCTTTCGTCTGTTCATGGGCATCGGGGCTGATTCCATGCTTGGCTATTGTGAATAGTGCCACAATAAACATCGGTGTTCAAATATCTATAATGTGTATTAACTTTATCTCATTTGGGTGTATTCACTTCCTACAGTACAAAAGTCCCAATTCCAAAGCAAGCAATTGCCTCCATGCTCTGGGCCTGCTGTCCCTCTCTGGCTTCATTTTCCACCCTTTGTCTACTTCTTAACTTTCAGAACCTGGAACTCTCATCCTCTGTCCACATTTTAGTTTTTGTTTTGTTTTGTTGTTTGTAGGTCTGGAACTTGAACCCAAGACCTTGTACATGCTAAGTGCTTTAGTCAGGGTTACTATTGCTGTAATGAAACACCATGACCAAGGCAACTTGGGGAGGAAAGGGTTTATTTGGCTTACATTCTCACATCACAGTTCGTCATCAAAAGTCAGAACAGGCACTCAAACAGGGCAGGAATCTAAAGGCAAGAGCTGACACAGAGGCCATGGCAAGAGTGTGCTTATTGGCTTGTTCCACGGGGCTTGTCCAGTCTACTTTCTTATAGAATGCTGGACCACCAACCCAGGCATGACCTGGCCAAAAATAAACTGGGTCCTCCCACATAAATCACTAATTAAAAAAAATTAAAAAATGCCCTACAGACTTGTCTACAGCCTGATCTTGTGGAAACATTTTCTCAATTGAGACCCCTTCTTTCCAATGACTCTAGTTCAAGCCAAGTTGAAGTAAAACTGGCCAGTACTTGGCCGGGTAGTTAAGCCAGTGTTTGCTACTCTGTGGGTTTGTCTTTCTTTCACTCTTCTCAATTCCTTTTCTTCTACCCTTTCAACCCCCTATCACTAGATAAGAGAGAAAAAAAAAGGATAGAGAAGAAAGGAAAGAGATACCTGAATAAAGTCAGGAGTCAGAAAAGGGGTAACATTATCATTAGAATACTTCCTGCTGATTAGAGGCATTGAGTTCCTGAGGGCAGATTTGATCTTCATTACGAGGATATCTAATTTCTTCTTGACTACTCAACAAATTGAGACAACCAGCAACCAACAACTCACCACCAACACACACTGCCTCTGCCTCTCGGGGCCCTAGTATTTATATGCTCTCTAAAACATCCCCAGGATTCCAAACCTTAGACAATTGCAGAGACTATCTGCAGCTGGCAAAAGCATGCCCCTGCTAGAGCAAGAGGCAAATCACAGTCAGCTGCTGCCAAGCAGCACTATATCCCCATACCAGGGATTAAAATGAAAACATATTCTTATAATATTTCTGTTTTATTGTTTTTTAATAATGTCTTTAATTTTATTTTATATGCATTAGGGTGAAGGTGTCAGATCCCTTAGAACTGGCATTAGAGATGGTTGTGAGCTGCCATGTGGGTGCTGGGAGTTGAACTTGGGTCTTTTGGAAGTGCTCTTAACCACTGAGCCATCTCTCCAGCCCCATACCTCTGTGTTAAAAAAAAAAGAAAGAAAGAAAAAAAAGACCCTAAATTCCAAAATTTTCACTACATGCAGTGGTGGCACACTCCTTTAATCCCAGCACTTGGGAAGGAGAGGCA